AAAAAATACCTATTTCAGAAGGTTGCTGTAAACACTAAACTGATCAATATATTTTAAGTTCTCCCCATATTAGTTATGTTTTAACTTTTTGAACTAAATTTGAATAAAAAAATTAATATCCATAAGATAAAGCAAGATAAGATCCTCTCTGAAAAAAATAGTAAAATTCCATGGAGAATGCAAATTTCTTCAATACCCACACAGGACATGCATGCATCAAATTCTCAAAGAGTAAATAACCAATATCATATAGAAAAATCTGGATTCTACACCAAAGTCCAAAATACAGCTTTTACCACAGTATCAAAATACATTTTTTTTGCCAAAACAGTTCAACATTTATTAAAAAACCTCTGTTTTTCTGTAACTAATTTCTCTCCTTCCTTCCTCTGTTTCTCCAGCCCTTAAAATACAAGCCCAATAATTCTTTTTAAAGACAATGTACAAGCTATGTATTTTGTTATTGCTGCCAGTTTTCACATAGCTACAAACACAGAGGCAATGTGGAATTAATACAGCTTAAGAACAGAGTGAAAGTTAGTAACTTGATGTTGAGGATACTATAAATAAACAAATAATTAAATCAAGTTGCCAAGGTGTATGAAATGAATCCCAAGGAGGCAGACTTTACAGCTCCAAAACTTTGAAATCTGTGATTTCTGTGGGCATGGCAGCTGTTGACACTTCCACTGTTGGTTACATGACCTCAGAGTGGAAGTAAGGACTGTATTTCTGGCCAGCTTATCTGCTCCTTCAAGATTTCTCCAAAAAAAAAAAAAAAAAAAAAGAACCACTACATTAATGACGCCTCTGTAAACTACAGAGGAATGAAACCCTTCTGGCCTGTCTGCAACCTCTACAGACTCTACCCTGCACTGTTATGTCATTGTCCTTCCCCTATATTCCCCCTCCTGTTTTCTCTTCTTTTCTCTTTCCTTTCTTCCCCACTTCCCTTCATTTTATTTCCTCGCCCTTTCCCAACCTTATTTTTTCTCCTAGTTCCACAGTCGCCTAGCTGTGGAGCCACCCTATGATCTCCAAGGGGAAAACCACTTTCAATTACATTTCCTTCTAAAAGTGCTTCTCCGGGTGTCTGCTGTGTGGTTAGCTCTGTCTACTATGCCTCTGCAAACAGGGACCCTAGAGTTTCCCCCAACGATCATAGTTCCTCCTGCCTCACTCTTTTTTTGAACTGGGGACAGAAGTAAAAACAAAATCTCTCAGCACTCTCCTCGGTTCAGCCAAAACTATCATCACACATGGGATGGACAGTAACCAAGTGTGCACTTCCTTAGTGCATCTTCCAAAGCCCCTCACTCACCCAGCTCTTCCATTGTCTTACACCCAGAAGGCTCTAGTCCTGACGATTGTGAAGAACTGCTTTGGCATGTGGTGAAGAAGGGGACCACAACGGAACTGAATGAGACAGTGCGAAGCAGCGTCTATGACCCTTTTTGGTTCCTGTATTTGCTTAGCACTTCCTCACTTTTGATTTGAATTTCTTTCTTTTCTTTTCTAGTAGCTCAGTTGTTTTAAATAGTGCTGTCAGAGAAAGACAGGTTGTGCAAGACTGAGGTTTTGATGCTACATTGGCCAGTGGTTATAAAGGATGAAAGTTGATTTCTCAAAATTTAAAACTCCTACCACATACAAGAGCTTAGGTTTTCCAAGTTTAAGCATCCCACTGCCCACTCTTGGCTTCTTTTTTTTTTTTTTTTTTTTTTTTTTTTCCCCCCGATGTCCATGGAAGCATAGGCTCCTTCCTTAAAATTTCTGATTAAACAGCACCAACTTCATTTCATTATCTCTATTTTCTTATTCAGAAGTCATGCTGACCTGATTTCCCCCAAAAAACTGTAGTTTAAAACTTTTTAAAATTACATTTGTGTGCATGTGAGTTTATGCGTATGAGTGTGTGTGTGTGTGTGTGTGTGTGTGTGTGTGTGTGTGTGTGTGTATGTGTACTTATGTGTGTGTTGTGTGTGTGTAGACACTATGATTTGTGGGAGTCAAGCCTCTCCTACCAGCTGGGTCCCACAGACCAAACTCATCAGACTTGTCAGCAAAGTGCCTTTGTCTGCTGAGCAACTCACTGGCTCAGATTCTAAATTCTTGAAAGTTGAATAGAATAAGTTCACTTTTGAATTCTCTAGTACTGGTTTATACAGTTATTCAAAATGCAAACATCTACAGGCCAAGGAAGAATCAATCTAGAGAATTTAAGATACTAGGTATGAAAATCTGAATTACTCACACTGCCTTGTAATAATTTCTTCAAAAACTGAGCTAGGTCAATGTTTTATCTTATCACCAAGCCTTAGTTCATCTCAACAGGAAAAAAAAGCATTTATAACAGGCCCACCTTGAGAAGTCAGTAAGTAAAGAACTACAATTAAGGTGGGTTTTGTCCAGGTGTTTAACCAGTAGAGACACAGACACAAAGAATAGTAACTGGCTAAAAGAACAAAGTAAAGAGATAGCCTTGCTACTTAGTATATAATCTGGTTTTACTCCAGTATGTTATCTTTCTTTCTTCTACTTTGTAGTGATCACTTATTTAAAGGAATAAGATGTTGCACTAAGACCTCCTTTTTTTCAATTTTTCAATTTTTAGGAGAAAAGACTAAAAGAAGTCTTATTAAAGTAAGATTATGTGAAAACATATGACAGACTGTACACACATAACTAAGGGCTATAGGATACATCACTGTGAGAAATACAAACAGGCACAACCGCTGCAGAAATGAGTATGTTGGTTCTTGAGAAAACTGCGAAGAGAACTGGACTGAGACCTCTTTTAAGACCTCGCTTTCTGTATTACTTTAAGCAGCCATTGGATGTCAGTGCTGTGCCAAAGGAGCGCATTGTAAATACAGACTGACAAATCGTTCCCACAGGCACTGTCGGTTTTTACAACTGAAAATGACACTAGTCCTTTGAAAGAGCCAAAGCTTCAATAGAGACTATAAAGCATTTGCCTTATCTGGGTGGCAAGTGAGCCAAACGCTGGAAAGAAAAATGAATTTCACTGCACATTTACAGTTTAATGTAAAATTCAGAATCACATCTCCACACCTTGTACCGCCATCCTCTTGGGCAGACTTTAACTGGGGATGTTTCCATCGATAGGGGTAAAGAGTCCCCTTCCTTGTAAATTGTTCCCTGATTACAATGTGTAAAAAGGAAACTAAGGAATGCAAACAATGTATAAAAGGGAAAGACCTGCCTACAATGTATACCAGGGAAAGGAACACAGAGGCTGCAGAATGACCAGCTGCGGCTTGAACAAATGGAAATCCCCACCCCCACCCCCCTTTACCCATCAGGAACTTCAGTTGCACACGCTAGCCAAAAGCTGCTATTCTGACTGTGCTTCCTGTGCTGCAGAAACCTCTACAAACCGCAAAGGCATGCAGCGTCGGGGCGGAGAACCTCAGAGGCTGCTAGAGGAGTCACGCTAACCCTCCCTCCAGCTCAAGGACCACAGCCAACGCCAGCCCCGGGATGCCCAATCCTACTAAAAAATAACTGGACAATTCCTCCCTGCGTGCTTTATTAAAATGGAAGTGGCAGAAGCAGAACGAGTCCCCGACCTCCAGGGCCTCGCGGGTGAGACCATCAACCCAAGATGGAGGGATGACAGCAGGTCGCGGAGGAGGCGTCAAGTGACCAGACCGAAGCAGGGGCTATGACGAGCGCACTTGGAAGAACTCACACTTAACAGCGTGAAGCAGTTCACTCTCTCACGCAACCCTAACCGGGAATCGGCTCAAAATACGTGCCCGGTGTACGCAGGCGTCGCGGCCTAACCCGGAAGCAGTGCCTCTCTGGGGGGTCACCTCGGACTGTGGATAGAAAACTACCTTTCCCGTGGTGAACCTCTCAAAATCTCCCAGACTTCTCTCGGCCTCCAGCGTCCCATCTTTTCCCTGGGAGCGGACTAAATGGGACTTCGTTTCCCAGGGTGCAGCTGGCTGGGTTCAGCTGTGCGCGTGCGCACCAGGACTGTCCCGCGCTGTGCCCTTAACCCCGCCTCTGGCCTATCGCCGCCATTTTTTCAGGGACTTTCATCCGGCAACGGACGGGGCCTTTTTTTCTTAAAGGAGAAGCGGCAACTCAAATAATTTCCCCCTTCTCCCCTCAAGAGCTGGCGGCGCTAGGGACAGAAAGGCCGGAGCAGGAAGGCGGGGGTCCGGGTGGAAGCGGGGTAACGTCCAGGCTACTTGTTAGGCTAGTCAGAGCCCTTGAGGGAACAGTGGCGCCTCAGGGAGGCAGGTGCGCGCGCAGCCGGCGGGGGGGAGGATTGAGATGAGGGACAAGCTGGTCAAGGTGCGTTTTGTCCTCTCCACCGCCCTCGCCAGCCCGGCCCCTCCCACCGCCCCTAGCTTGAGCTGAAACCCTCCGGGGGGTTAAAAAAAAAAAA